TTTAGACTATGGCTCATATAGTTTTTTGGGGGGAATTCGCTTTGCTAGACGGTGATCGATGGGAAGAACCAGTTAGTCAACACCACACCCCAAGCCGCTGCCGTCGTTGCGCCGGTATCTTAAATGGGGGCACCATAGTCGCAGTTCGGATCCAGAGCATTTCAGGTTGCTTATTTTTCCTCATGGTTGGTCTATTCTGGAAGAAGAGTATTACTGGGTTGCTGTTAAGGACCCTAAATTAAGTTCCCATATTGGGGAAACCCTATTATTTACTATATATACCCATTATGGTAACTTAATTTAAGTTCCTTAACAGCAACCCAGATTATTCAATGTGGTTCCCGGCAACAAGACACCCCTCATTTCACGATGGCTGAGGAGTGGTCAGGCCGTGAGGAAGGCAACGAGACATACAAGTTCGGGGACTTCTCGCGGGGCTTCTTTCAGCAAGTTCAAGCTGGAATGAGGGACCTGAAGCACAAGGCCCCTGGTTTAGGGTTCAGGGTTTAGGGTTTCGGGTAGGTGTTCAGGGTGGTGGTGCATGGGGCTTGGGAGATCTGACAAGGCCTGTGGCTAAGGTTGAGGGTTTGGGGTCCGCACACTACCCTTTAGGCAACGCAACTGCCGCTAGACTCCTTTTCTTCCCCGGCATCCGTTCTACAAGATGTCTGGGATAATCCAATGTAGGAAGCTGTCGGATTTGCAGGGCCGATCAGGATCCCAGATCAAAGCACCAAGCGGTCCTTGCTTTTTTTGGGGGGGGATGAGGCCCTTCTAACTGAAGCGCCAGGTTGCAGACAAGGCCCTTTCGTTCAAGGAAAACCACGAGACTCTGGCTGTAGAGTATGTGCGAGAGCTAGCCGCGGCGGACGAGGAAGTGACACCAGACCGGCTTTGGCATTGCTTTGACGCCCAAAGCAATGTCCCTGAATTCTAGGGTTGGGGAGCCGTTCTGTTGCTATGTTATTTTAAGCGGGGCTTATGGGCTCCATGTTAGTTTGGAGGTTAATTTTTTTGTGCCTGTTAACCCAGAAGTGTCTGATGCACTAGGTAGGCTAACGCTAAGCTGATATCCAGGATTAACCCTGTATTCCGCTATTGTTGATATTATACTACACTCGTGTCCCATAGTTCTATGTGCATACCTAGAAAATGCCTGGTACTTGTTTGCAACGGAGACCTTGGATGACAATCGAGCGCTAAACCCTAAAACTTAAGAAACTTAAGCACAAAACCAACATAGGAAAGACATTGCACAGAATACCTTGGAAGAGACCTCGAAAGCTGCTTACATCGACTTCAGTTTTTTTTTTGAAAGGTTTCAGGGTTTAAGATGTTTTCTCGTGTTACGCCTCCCCACCGACTGGGCTCTAGGTCCTAGACCGCTGGAACCGCATAAGCCCAAAAACCGTGCTGTCCAAAAAGGGAAGACTATCCAAAAGGACACCATGCCTGGCGCACTGCCCTAGGTTTGATCTACTCGGGATTATGGAGACCCATTACCTCTGAGGTCCTAACCACGGCCCCTACTTGGGCTCGTAGGGCTCTTTTGGGTAGAATAGGTACAGATAGGTACAGAAGGACTCCTAAAGATAGCTGCAAGATTTTCAGACCACAATTGGCAGTGTCTCAAAATTACCCGAACAGACTCCTCAATGGGACTTTCCAAATTTCTTGGTAATCCCCAACTTTCCTTGCGCCCATAGTGGCCCCGATTCAGAGGCACTCCCAAGTTGCGAGATATTCATCCAAACAAACCCAACACTAACATAATTGTACTCCAGTTTCAACTATATTAGGGGACTTAGGGGGTATAGCTGAGTTACGATTACCCCGAACCTCGAAGCAGAGCCAGAAAGCCTGTCGTATTTCTTGGAGGTTGTGGGTTCCCTGTGTATCAATACCTTATATGATCTTAACCCAACACCCTAAACACGAAACCTAAACCCTTATCGCTAAGCCCTAAACCTAAAACCATTAGGTTCCTGGTATTTACCTTGTAGGAAGGGACTGCGCTTGAGCTTGAGGCTACCACCAGTGCCGAGCGCTTTTGGGTTGGTGTCTGCAAGGATGCGCACAGAGATCACGCCGAAGCGTCTGAACCTTCTCAAAAACCCGAAGGCCGAACTCACTTGGTTTAGGGTTTGGGGGGGGGTAGTGTTCAGAGTCATTGTAATTATAAATTAAGGTGCCATGACCCCAAGTATAGGTACCGAGACCACAGCGGGATTATGAGTACACTTATAGTTATAGTTGGAGTTAATTTAATAAGTTCCTGCCCTAAACCTCTCACCTTGAACTTGACCTCCAACCGCAAGGCTTTAGGGTTTGGTCTTGAGGGGCTTGGCAGTCAATGCTTTACCGGCCATGCACAGCAAAAGAATCTTTCATTTAACACTCTATGTGCTTGTAGTTCTTTCCCGCAAACCTAAACCCTAGGATGATCTTTGATTACCCCTAGACTCTTACAGCCGAGAATTCCGAGCCTACACCCCCCGAGTTGTGATTGTCGTCCTTATTCTTCTCAGTATCACAACTATCGCCATTCTTTTTGACTTATTTTCGCACAACGCAGCTACGCATACCTAACCACCTAAACCTAAGCTCGAAGCCCTAAACTTCATTCTCAACCCTGATCCCTAAACTCTTTTGATTTGTCACAAAAAACCATGTCTAAAGTGGATTCTGACAAGATAGATACGCGAAAGTTCAGCAGCACGCGCGACGAACCTGAAGCCGCCCATGGTTTTGGTCATTGCAGCGAATCATAGCTAATGTGGTTTAAGGGCTTAGGGTTTTCCATTCAGTTTTGAAATGTTTAGAAAGCGTTTACAAAGCACGCCCCATTGTTAGCCCTTGGGGTTTCGAGTATTCACAAACAATTCATGCCTGAAGTGTCCTCTTCCAGTTCACAAACTCCTCAACCCTAAACCCTAAAACCCTAAGCCCTAAAACCCTAAACCCTAAAAACCTAAAAGCCTAAACCCCCGGACATCTTTGAACATGTTCGTTGCCAACCTTTTTGGTTTTGCCCAGAGAAAAGGACACCTCCAGGTGGGTAGCTACCACGTGGCTACCCCTAAACCTCTATGTACCATGGTCTAAGTCTAAGTTAAGGGTTCAGGTTTCAGGGTTCAGGGTTCAGGGTTTAGGGTTTGGAGTTTAGGGTTCAGGGTTTGGGGGTTAGGATGGTCTAGACTCCTTAAAAGGTGGTTACATAGGGATTGTGCAGGGAAGTTTTATGGGGGTCATCAAGGGGGATGCTAGGAGTTTAGACTTTCGGACATATAGACCTCATATAGCTCCATTATATCCTTATATACGACCCTTATATGGGGGGTACCTGCCTGGTAACAACCTTAAACCCAAAACCAACGACCTGGGGGCGTGCCTGAGACAGGTCCGGGCTGTGGAACTCTGCAAGTGGAGGTGGGGGTTTCCCAAAATCAGGGCTACGCACTAAAGACTACCTTTTGTTTCAGGGGGAGGTTATGTTGGGGCTTAGGGGTTTAGGGTTTTGGGGACCCTTCTTTTGGGAAATCTAAACCCCCTACACCCTAAACTCCAGACCCTAAAGCTTTCAGGTGCTGAACCTCGGGGAGGAAACCTTGGTGAGAGCAGATGGGAAACCTGCCGCGAAGCCAGTACCCTGCTCAAAGTCTCCTATGTCGTTCCCTTTTTTGGGGGGGTTTAGGGTTTAAGATCTAGGGTTTAAGGTGTAAGGTTTAGGGCTTAGGTTTAGGGCTTAGGTTGTTTTTTGGGGTTTAGGGTTGAGGGTTTAAGGTTTAGGGCTTAGGTTTCAGGGCTCGGGGGCCTTCCCTATTCATGAGCCATAATCTAAATGCCTGAATGGGTCTTATCTAGGGTACTATGTATATAGGGGACTACTATGGGGCTCTTTCAGGGGGATACTAGGAGTTTAGGTTAACTCTCAGATGAGGCTGCCTTAACATCAAACTATAGCAAACCCAAGAAGGAACTACATAGGAGCCGTTGGGTGCTCTAGAACAGGTTATTCTGCCAACTTGTTTTCGTGGTCAGCTTTGAAAATTGGACCCCACCCGAACGCTGAACGGTTAGAAGTCGGTTTTCTCAAAAATTTCACTGGCAGGCAGCTTGATGCCTGATAGACTTGTAGCCGCAACTGCTTAAAGCCTAGCACCCTGGGAGCCCAAACCCGTAAACTCGTAAACCCTGACCCATGAGTTCTCTAATGATTGCAAAGCCGACAGGCTCTGCGGGTAGGTTAGTCGAAGCTGTGGGTTCAGGATTTCTGGTTTTGTGTTTTGGGTTCAGGCTTTAGGGTTTACAAGGTGTAAAGACGAATCTTGAGGCTTTGCCTGCCCTAAAAGGGAACATGGATTTTGACAGCCCCCGGTGCTAACCACCAGATCCCTTCCAGGTGCTGGTGATGAGCCTGCATGGCAACCGCAGTGGGGCACTACGTCCTGGTACTTGCAATGCAGCAAGCTTCCAGGTGATGGAAGTGGAAAAAAAGATGGGATGTAGGCTTTAGAGTTTAGGGTTTAGGGCTTAGTTACGTGGAAAGAGTTTTTTTTAGGTTTCACAGGAGCTCTAAACTCTAAAACCTAACCCAAACCCCCTAAATTGACTGTAGCTCAGGTGATGGAAGTGCTGGGTTCAGACCTAGGCCGAGATTTTCTCAAAACTGGGTCAGGGCTTTGGGTTTACGGCTTAGGTTTTTCAGGATTTAGGGTGTCGGGCTTTCTAGCGCTCGGATAGCAGTCCCAGACGTTGGGGGTGGGATCATTGCTTTTGTGGCTTGCTGGAGAGAAGAGACTGTAAGGATTCATTACTCGGACGTTTGCAGGTTTCAGGGTGTAGTGCCACACTGTCCTTTTGTGGGGTGTCATTTGTATGAGCAAGGGGGACGCCAAGTTTGTGAGATGCGAGGTGTCTACGCCTTCGACAGGGGAAGCTCCAAATTCGCCATCGGCACCTTGGTCCGCTAGAGCAGTAGTACCCTTGACCGGCTCATATGCAACAGAAACCGCGCAGTCCCTGATCATTTCCTCTAGCAATTGCTCTGCAATCTCTTCATGCATCCCAGGAATGCTTACACTATTTTCACTTACTTAGCCAATAGATGAACTTTAAACTTTTTGGGCTTCCTTTTTGGGTCTCTATAATCAAGTTCAAACTTGTTTAACCTTGGTTATTGGGGAAGAGAGTTCAGCTTCGGCTTACATTCACCCAAAAGGCTTGTTGAAAGCTTCATGAAGCTCCAGAACGGACAAAGGTTTACGCATTTCTCCTATGCATTGGGCATGGGAACAGAGCTACTTCGATCCTCGCCATGATATGGGAATTCCTCAGTTAAGCGTTCTGACTCCACTGGGAATCCCTATAACGTCTCCCAAAGGTCCTCAGGCAGAAGCTCTCATATCCAGAAGACCTTTGTCCTGCGCATCACATTCCTGGGCCCCTAACTAATAAGCCCTATAAACCTTCAGTGTTAGATGGGGTCCATGTCAGCGTCCTTTATGATATAGGTTTCCTTATGGGGAATGGTTTGAATCGGAGCTCCGAACCTTAATTAGGTCTAAACCCTACAAACCCTTACTCTAAAACCCTAGATCCTACACCCTAAGCCCTAGAACATAAACCTCAACACCCTAAACCTTAAAACCTGAAGCCATAGGCATGGAGGACCAAGCCTTCTGTGGCGGCTGCCTGGTGCCTTTGACAACCCTGACGCAGCGCTGCATGAAGAAGCGCTTCTGGGATGTCCTTCGCAGCAGCTTCTCGCAGCAGGCGCATATGCTTCATGTTGGAAGGAGGAGTGTATAGTATAGTAGAGTATAACATCGTATAGAACAGTATAGTGTAGTCTGATGCAGTATAATGTAGTGTAATATAGCATAGTGTATGTAAAGTAAAGTATAGTATAGTATCAGGGCAGTAGTAGTGGTAGCAGTGGCAAAGGTGGCTGTGGTGGAGATGACAGTGGCGGTGGTTGTCACAATACTTAGCAGTAGCAGTCTAATCATTATTGTTTAGTAGTAGTAGTAGTAGTAGTAATATGTAGTAGTAGCAGTAGTAGTAGTAGGAGGTAGTAGTAGTAGTAGCAGTAGTAGCAGTAGTAGCAGTAGTAGCAGTAGTAGCAGTAGTAGCAGTAGTAGCAGTAGTAGCAGTAGCAGTAGTAGCAGTGTAGCAGTGTAGCAGCAGCAGCAGCAGCAGTTGCAGCCCCAGCAGCTACAATAGCAAGCAGCATCAGAATCGCTGCGCGAGTGGAGATCTGATAGCTAAACAGAATAGGGCGTCGGAAAAGCAAGTCGCAGTGCCACTCATCGAAACCCTGATCAAAGATAGAGATTCTTAGCGCAAAGGTCATGATGAAATCCGCGGCTATCACCACTCAATCAGTCACTTGCAAAGCTGCTATATTGACTACAGCCTTCTAGGAGGCCTGGCCACTTGCCCGTCAAATTCAAGTTTTCATGCCGACTACTGTCAGGCCAAGGGGCTGGGGCTTAATGCTGTTGATGGGGAGAACCCCTGCACCACCCGAACCTTTCTGACGGGTGCTTAGTAGGGAATCAGGGAATATAATCCCTACATAACATATTCCCTAAGTCCCCACAAAGAGCCAGGATATACACATAACTGCTTGAAACGCATTGTTTCACAGTAGTTTTACATTTAGGCCTTTAGGTGCCATGAGGTGGCGTATCAACAGAGGACCCTCTTCGTACATCAGTTGACGGGGCAGTAGGTTCATAATCCCTATAATGCACATAGTAGCCCGAGTTCCCATGATGAACCTGCTTACTAAGTCCCCCTGATCCTAAACCTCAAGCTCTTCTAAATTCTAGGTTTATTATATGCATATATGTATTTATGGTATATGCAATGTTTTCATATGAAACACTCCTCGGGATTTAGCTTGGACCTCAGGCCCTTAACCCTTGGAAATTCCCCTATTCTCCTATTATAGGCACCTAATTAAGGGTGAACCCTTAGCAGGGGTCCAAAGTGCATTGTAGTTTCTATTGTCTTTTCCACTAATACTTGGCCCTAAACCCTTACTTCCAGGTAATATATGTATATATAATGGTAGCTTCCATATTCTCTAAGCATAAACCCCTAAAACCCTAAACCCTAAAATCCTATCTACTAATCCTTAGCCTTCCTGACCCTGCAAGCAGGTCTTTCAGGCAGATGTTAAGCTCCAGCTACTGCCTCTCCACGTGGTGCGCGGCAAGTGGAAGCTCGAGCCCGGTGAGGTCCGAGTTTGTTTAGGTTTTAGGGTTCAGTGAGTTTGTAAGAGACAGGCCCTTCCCCAAAAGGTCCACGTACCGGGTACTTGGGGTGTGTGGTCACAGTGCTTGTAGTACAGGCTTTGTGTAAGTATATGATGGTTGTGTATTTGGACTCTTAGGTTGATATAGCTAGCTTCACACAGGACGGTGGTTGTTATGTAGCTTTTGTTGGTTTCCATGTTAGTTTGTGGGGAGGTATGTCTTTCTCGCAGGGACCCTTTTCCTGCAGCATTGATCACGGCAAGGATTCCCTCATCCCTTCGTAATCCATATACCTAACTTATATACCCCCACCTACTCATAGTAGTACGGTAGGAATCTATAGGGCCCTCAAAAACGTACTTTTATCCCTGGTGGTCATTATTTGTGGATGGGGGGATCACCTAAACCTATATGAGTAGTGTTTGATTTGGGGATACTATAGACACCAATATAGAGAGCAAAATAGCTTTTTTAAAGAAATAGTTTGACCTTACTAGTTTCAAGTTTCAACCACCAAAAACATGCTACTCATATGCGTTATATTCTAAGCTCCTTAAAGTAAAGGGGGGTATATAGGGATTATATAGGGGGCTACTATAGGGGTTACTAAAAGGGATACTTGGAGTTTAGACAGTGGCTCATATGGGTGGTTGTCAAAATTATGGTTCCTTTTTGGCTTTTGGATCCCTATTATATTACGGCACCTAATATTTAGGGTACCCAAAAAGGGATCATAATTTTGACAACCACCTTCATGAAAGGATCCTCAAGAATGCTTCTTTCTTGAGAACTTTGCAGGTCACTGGTGCGTCGCAGCCCAAGGCGCAGGAGATAGTTTGACTGGGTTGCTGTTGAGGAATTTATGTTGAGTGACCATAATAAGGAACTCTTGTTATTCATTTTTCATTATGTACCCGTACTATGGTAACTTAAACCCTAAACCCTACATAACCCTAGCATTTGGTATATACCCATTATTAGGATGAATTAAGCCCTATGTTCCTAGACAGCAACCCAGGAGAGTTAGAATGTTTGTACAGGTTTGGGGTTTCAATGAGGGATACAGGGTGTTAGGATGTCAAGGTTTAGAGGTTTAGGGGTTTTCTAGTCTGGGGTTTAGAGGTTAGGGTTTTAGGGTGTAGGGGCTTGCGAGTTGGGATTCATGGGTGAAGTTTCAGACGGTGGATCTCGGGCCTGCAGTGTAAGTTCTAGGGTCGGAGGTTCAGGGTTCAGAATTTGCCATTCCTATGACAAGGCTGTATGGTAATAGGGCTAGTGCAAAAGTGTGAGGTATTGCCCCCACTCATTAACAGTTGGATAATATTTCGAATGTGACTAATTATATAGACCCCTTCATATTACTCCTCTTATGGACCGTCAGTGGCTGGAGGACCCAACTCAGTTGTGTCATTTTGTTCGAGCAGTTGGATGGGGTGGGATGAGTGATCTTTGAATGCAAGGTGCAGTTGGGCAGCGTGGTGCTGAGATTGACGTTGTCCCTAGACAACACTCCAGCTTTGCTGTGCTTCCGGCCATCAGATGGTTTCTGGAGCTTATTCAGAACCACTTGCGGTTTAGGGGTTTGGGGTTTAGGGTTTAGGGTCATTCCCATCCGTAAACCCTGAACCCTAAACCAATGTAGAAGCACCTGCAGTCGAAACTCCTTTGCGCAGCTCCCTTGCTCATCTTAGGCTTTCAAAGGCCAGCTATGGTGGAGAGCCACAGAGGCCACAGGAGCAAAACCTAAACCCTAAACCCTAAACCCTACACCCCAATCACTATGGTATCCTTATATATCCCCGTGTAATCCCTACCCTGAACCCTATGACAACCCTAAACGGTCCTGAAGGCCACGTGAGCGATCCATTCAGCGTTTTGAAGGCTGCTGGCCTGGCCGTTGGCCGTATCTCCTTCGCGCTGAAGATGGACTTGTGGAAGGCCGCGCTTAGGGCTCAGGGTTTAGGGTTTAGGGGGGGGATGTAGGCTGGAAGGCCATACTTGATGGCACCGTAAGGTTACCCTAGGTCGCTGTAAGGTGGGATGTAGGGATGTACAGGTCTTAGCGTTGAGGGTTGAGGGTTCAGGGAACCCCAGGGTAACGAACGGGTTAGGCAATTTATTGTTAAAGGAATTGGATGTTAATGGACCTGCTAAGGGCATGTACTATTTCACCTGACTCATGGACTTGTGGAATGGGCAGCTTCCAAATATTTCTGGGCGTAAAGTCATATAGGGTTTTGAGAGTTAAGGGTTGAGGTCGCTGTTTGGGGCGTTCCCCTCAAGAAGCACCTAGGCGTTCTGGATATAGAGCAGAAGACACCACATTTGGAAATGGCCATATCTCAACATGGGAAACCTCCTCTCTACTTTAAAACATCCCTTGGACCCTGCAACTCTGAGGACTCCCCCAAATTTGAGAACCTTGGAGCGTTCGCGCTTGTATGATTAGCTGCAGCTGCAAGGGATGATCTACTGATGTCATGTTCCAATTCTTCCAGCCTCTGAACCCCTAAACCCTACATCCTAGGCAACAGTTGACGACATGCGCGACAGTTTGCTTTTCAGTCCCTTGCTGGTGGCTTGGTGGACCCTGCCACTCGGCTGCTCCTGGCGCATGTCATCTTACCCCTGGTTAGCAGGGGTTTAGGGTTTAGGGGCTTGGGGTTGGAACGGACAATCAGATGATACATGAACAACAGAATGAGACGGAAACTGTTGGTATATGCGTACATGTACGGTCTAGGTTGGGTACTGCCCCCGCTCAGTAACAGTCGGATATTGGTTTTCTTATAAGTGGGCCCCCCAAAAAAGCACAACTGTTTTCCGAGATAGTAGATGTCAGGCCTGGCCACTCAAAATGCAG